GCCTGCAGGGCAAACCTCTTGACCTTCCCAACCTCAAGGTTATTCTATTTCAATTGCTGTTGCTGGTATAAGATTTATAGGGGTTTATTATCTTTATTTTTTAACCCTGCTGACCACTGTAAGCTGAGGAGGAAAATTCGTTTGTATTTTCAGGAAAGGGGAATATCTATTTAACATGTTTGCCACACAGTGTACGTCCTTCATGAATTAATCATTGAGGGGGCGTATGTGTATTTGTTTACCAGGACTGGCTGGATAGTCGTTAAATCACTGCTAGGAACTTGCTTCTTGCCCTGGAGCATTATGCATCAGGACTGTTTTAATTGCGGATGGAGGAATCGCCATGAGTCTGTCCCTAATGCAAGCACCTGCTGCAAATGACTCAGTCCCCACATTACCCTCCAGCAGGGTCCGGGTACATCTGCCAATATCTGTCATTATCTGAGGCACACTTGTCAAAACCGTGCATCCCTTTAAGCTCTTGCGTGTTCCAGCAAGGGACCCTTGTCAGTGTTTCTGGCACCTGCAGACTGCTGTGCACCTGGTATTTAAATGGCACAGAAATGTGTTTTGATTGTTTTCTCTCTTTAATGAACCCACCTGAGGGACATTTAGCTCTTTATCTAGTAGCCTGTTACCCAGTCACTCACATTTACACTGCTTGCGTGGAAATTCAGAACCCACTTGTGCTGTTATACTAATCCATCTGCCAGAAGTCTTATCACAAAATCTGCAGGGCTCCCTAAGGAGACTTTTGTACTGGTAATTTAAGCTAATGATTTCTAAACATATTTAGTCAGTTTTATGAAGACCTCATTAGAATGCGACTGTTTATTAAAAATCTAAATGAGGTCTCAGTCATTTAGAAAAATCATTGCTGAGTTGCACAAACAGTTCTTTGATAATGGATGATGAAGTGGGTTTTAGTTAAGGCTAGAAAGAATCGTACTTTTCCAGACTACACACTGACAGGTAAAAAGTAAAACCAAGACTCCTAAGACACCAGCATGATCACAAGCTATTTCAGAATAACGTATTTTAGATTATGTTAACACAAGAGGTCTCTATGTTCATGTTTGTAAGAAGTAGAGCAACTGAAGATAGTGTAATTTCAGGCATGCTCTCCCAAGCAACTCATCATAATCTGATGTCTTATTCCAGAAGAAACAGAACTTTTTATCCTAACAATGTACGAGTGATTGGAAAATAGACACAAGAGAACATCTTTGTTACTCCAGAGACTGCTTTGGAGTACAGACTCCAAAAGACAGAGCTGGATCCTTCTGTGGAAAACAGTGGGAACTGAATCAAGGTGTTTATTTACTGGCCAAAGTCTCAGATTGCTTCTTGACATATTTTGGTATTTGCACACAGAAAAACATTTCTTTCCTCCTTAAAGAGTTATGTTAGGAAATGTTACAATATATTCACAGAATCATAGAATTGTCAGAGTTGGAAGGGACTTCAAAGATCGTCTAGTCCCAACGTCCCTGCCATGGGCAGGGACATCTCCCACTAGATCAGGTTGCTCAGAGCTCCATCCAACCTGGCCTTAAAAACTTCCAGGCATGAGGTTTCCACCACCTTTTTGGACAAACTCTTCATGTGTCTCACCACCCTCATGGTGTAGAACTTCTTCCTAATGTCCAATCTGAATCAATCCATATGTATTTTTAATCCATTCCCTCTAGTCCTACCACTACTCAACATCCTAAAAAGCCCCTCACCAGCTTTCTTGTAGCCCCCTTGAGATACTGGAAGGCCACGATAAGGTCTCCTCGGAGCTTTCTTTTCTGCAGACTGAACACCCCCAACTCCCTCAGTCTGTCTTCATAGGAGAGATGCTCCAGCTCTCTGATCATCCTCGTGGCCCTTCTCTGGACACGCTCCAGCACGTCCATATCTTTCTTGTGCAGTGGGCTCCAGAAGTGGGACACAGTACTCCAGGTGGGATCTCACGAGAGTGGAGTAGAGGGAGAGAATCACCTTCCTTGACCTGCTGGCCACGCATCTCTTGATGTGATTGGTTTTCTGGGCTGCAAGTGCACACTGATGGCTCATGTTGAGCTTCTTGTCCATCAGTACTCCCAAGTCCTTTTCTTCAGGGCTGCTCTCAAGCCAATCACTGCCCAGCCTATATTGCTGCTTGGGATTGCCCCAACCCAGATGGAGGACCTTGCACTTGGTCTTGTTGAACTTCATGAGGCTGTCCTGGGCCCACCTCTCCAGCCTGTCAAGGTCCCTCTGGATGGCATCCCTACCCTCCAGGGTGTCAGCCACCCCACACAGCTTGGTGTCTTCAGCAAACGTGCTAAGGGTGCACTCAATGCCACTGTCCATGTTGCTGACGAAGATGTTAAACAAGACTGGTCCCAGTACTGATCCTTGAGGGACTCCACTTGGACATGGACCCATTGACAGCCACTCTTTGGGTGTGGCTGTCAAGCCAGTTCTTTATCCACTGAATTGTCCATCCATCAAATCCATATTTTATCAGCTTGGAGACCAGGATGTCATGTGGGACAGTGTCAAAGGCTTTGCCTAGGTCCAAGTAAATTATGTCGGTTGCTCTTCCCTTGTCTATTGATCTTGTGTATTCAATTGTGCCATCTAGCTGTCACCTCCATCTTTGCTCTTGTTAGGCTGGTCCTAATACACAGTTGGCAGAATCAAACTTGGCATGTCACATCATTTGTTAGTAGTTGCTTTCTCTCCCACCCCTTGTTTTTGCTTGAGGCAGAAGAAATTTAGTAAGATCTGATTAATAAATGGTGAAATGCACTGATGAAATTTAGTGGAGGTGATTGATACATAAACGTGCTGCAAGGATTCATGAATGTCTATCATGCTTTTAATAAAACAAAGTATTTACCAAAAAAGAAATCACTAGAAATAATTATAAAAAATAAAACCTCACCCCAGGAGCATAGTAATTACAGTAATTAGGGCTTCTCAATTATT